TTCGAGTTTAGGGTTAAGGGTTTCGGGAATGGATTTTTAACACTCAGTTTAGGGTCTAGGGAATGGGTTTATAACACTCAAGCCGGGAGCCTCGGGCGTGTTGAATAATGTTGCTTTAAGCGGTACCCCTAAAAATACTACCTATCATCATGGTTTACGGAACCTCCGAAGCCCTTGACCGTAAGTGTTCGAACCCTGAAGCCCTAAAGCTTTAGTTCCTAAACCCTCAAGTTCCAAACCTTGAATCCTAATGATTCCCCCAAATTTTCCGGTACTTAGGTTTCGGATGATAGTTCTGTAGGTTGCTATTTGGCACAGTATATGATTATTAGGTACTTGGACCCTAAGAGTTCAATCCCTAAACCCTAAACCCTAGACCCAAAGCCCTAAAAAACCAACCCCAAAAAACTTAACCCATCAGAGTCTCTTGGTCAACGCTTTCGGGGAGGGGCAATCCAGCATGCGATCGGTTCCCTGAGGCTCCATGTACCTTTATCCCTAAGGCTCAAAATAGCCCAAAAGCCTAATATAGTATGGTCTTTGGGCCCAAAAGCCTTAAATTATGCGTCCTTAGAGCCTTAGGGTATCGTGTATACTTATGCTTCGGCCATAAACGGGGGTTCCTGCAATATCAGGGCCTTAATAATTAGAGTAGGGTTGGGGGTATACAATACTATAAATATGATATAAAGGACCCCCAAACCCTGTTCTAATTATGAAGGCCCCTACACGATAAGCACTTCAAGGCCTACGGATATACTATACAGGTACATACAAGCCTCAGGGTTTGGAGAGTGTGTTTAACGCCCGGTAGGGTTCGGGGGCTACGGCTTTGCGGCTTAAAGCAAATTAGCGGGCCTTGAAACGGGCACAGCACACGCAACGTTTTAAAAGGTTCAGCCCCCTTACCCACTGTTTTGTGCCTGTGGCCGCGTGTTGAAAGACAGATGGTGTTATAATATAGGGGGCCTTTATAATTAGAATACCAAAATTATAACAAGGAACCCCAGAATAGTATAGGAAATTATTTAGGCTCCTATATTAGACTTGCATCGAGGGCTAGGCTTCCCCGAGAGAGCTGCTGAGGGCTTTTTGGTTGCGGTGTTGCGTCTATGGGTTAGGGTTTTTCTGGAGGTTTATGTTAAGCCCTGAACCCAGAACACCCCTGAACCCTGATGGGGTGCAGGGTTTGTGGTGGTTTGGCTGCTTCCGGGCCTTTTGGTTTCTACTGGTGCTGCTCTTCTTATTCAGAACTTTTTTGATTTCTGACATGTTCAATCTGCTGATGCTGCATCATTGTCGCTGCTTCTGCTGGTGTTGCTGCCAAAGATGCTGACAGCTGCCGATTCTGCTGGTGCTGGTGCTGCTGCAGCTTCCTATTCTCATCACACGTGTGGCCCCAGAATGCCAACCTCTCCGAGCCTCTCCAATTGACACCAACCTGCCTGTCAGTGCTGCGACAGCTTCTACTGCTGCTACTACTGGTGCTGCTCCTACTATGTATGCCTGCAACTGCTACTTACTAGTACCGTCATTCGCACCATTACTACCAAAGCTGCTACCGGCACCACTACTACTAGGACACCACACCCTGACCCTCAACCCCCTCACACACCCAGCAATGCTGTCGGTTTTGGTGCCCAACCAACCCCAGCCCTGACCCCAACTCTGAACCCTATAAACTCTAAACCGCAAATGACAACACATCGCACACCACAACACCGTCTTTGCCTGCACTGGCTTCTTGTCTTCCGTGCCGCGCAGAAAGGATGCTGCGGCACGCATGTAGAAGGCAACATTCCTAGGTAGGCCAGGCTTCGCGTTAGCTCTTGAAGGAGTTTCGGGCTTTAAGGGTGCTTTAGCCGGTAATGGGAGTTTGGGAGTTGCAGCAGTTACGGTTGATGATATAAATCCGCATTGCCCATGAGAAAGATTATACCACAATTCCCATAGTTTAGGGTCCTTAAGGTAATGCAGGATTCTTATCATCAGCAGTATGTTATGTTTGGGTAAAGACGGCAAAGCCTGGCAGTGGCAAACCAGATCCGAATGCCGAACAGGTGCTTCAAATAAGATGCTTAGTTGCTGAGTTTCCAAGAATTGCGATTGAAATCTGGTAGGGCTATATATCCATAAAGGTCTGAATACTTATGTTATATATATATATAACCTGCACGCAACATGAAGGATCATGATGAGAAGGCAGCCACACTTCCGACACCGCCTGCACAAGGCTGGCGAGTGGTGAGCATCTGGGTTTCAGGGCTTTCTCAGGACGAGATACTTAGACCAGCAACAGCAGGAGGTGGAGTAAAATAGCGAGTACCCGGAGAAGAAGTAAGCACTTCTTGTGATGAGTAAGACAACGTGTTTCAGCCATCAGCAACAACAGCAACGATAGCACAAGCAACGACAACCGCCACCACCAACCCACCACGACCACCACCATCACCATCAACAATGACAACAACAGCAGCAGCACAACAGCAACAACAGCAGCAGCAACAGCAACGGCAAAACACCAGAAACAGCACCAGCACAGCACCAGCACCACCAACAACAACAACAATAGCAACAACAACAACAACAACAACAACAACAACAACAACAACGACAGCAGCAGCAGCAACCAGAATAGTCCAGAATCCGAGATAGGCGCTGTAGCTGCCATGTTTGGGAAGGGCAATGTGCATGGACGCCTTAGGTGTAACTCCCCACCTGATCACTAGACTACAGTAGACTCGTCATGTGCCTGAACCAGACCAGTGAACAGCTCGAAAGCACTATCGTTGCAAAAGGGGCCTCACAAATCACCAAAACTATTTTGGGATTCCTTAGTGTGCAAGCATAGTCCAACATAGCCCCAAACCCTATGTTAATTGTTACATTGTCTAGACCCCTGTACTAGAGCAGCCAGGTCGCTTTTTGGCGGTGATCTTCATGAGGGCCACATCCTCGTCTCCCATGATCGCCTCTGACGGTACAGGGGCTTCAACTCCCTTAGATCTCGCCTTTCAGGAATGCAGCGAGCTCATATTGGAGCCTGACGACTTAGTTATAGTATGCTTTAGGACTTTAGGGTTCTCCGTTATAAATTACAACTATATGATATAAACCTATATATATATATATATATGTATACATATACATATATATATATATATACATAGTTCTGTATGTATAGATAGAGAGAGCCCAACACCCTATTCTACGCCCCTCGAAACGACCCCTCCAGTTTGAAACTCCAACGCCCTGCAACTTACGCCCGGGCCCCGAAGAGGGTTCCAGGGTTCAGGATTTAGGATTCAGGGTTTAGGGTTTAGGGTTTAGGGTTTAGGATTCAGGGTTTAGGGTTCAGGATTTAGGATTCAGGGTTTAGGGTTCAGGATTTTGGGTGCAGGGCTTTAGGGTTTATAGGGTTCAGATTTTAGGGTGTAGGGTTCAGGGCTTAGGAACCGTGAAGCCTAAACCCTGAACCCTACACCCCAAACTCTGAACCCTACACCCGAAACTCTGAACCCTAAATCCTACACCCTGAACCCTAAACCCTCTGAATCGCATCGCTTCTTCTCAAGCTGGGTGTAGGGACTAGGGCGTTGCGGGAGGGCTTTCACTCAATAGCGACCCAAGAGACTAGTATCTTGAATATCCTCCTATTTCAGGACACCCCCCCCCCCCCAGATCTTCAGGGAACAACGTATTGTACGCCTGCTGCATTGTGCCCGGAAACTGATCCAACTTTGCAACCTCCCACTCTGAAATCATATGCTACCTGGAGGTTCATGGGACTAAGTAAGTACAAGTATGAGTGCTTCCATCGGGGTGATAAGTAATCATAAGTACAGATGCCTTGTGTAAGTTCATGGTTGCTAAGTCCCATGAACCCCTGGGCAAGGATGCACCTATACTTCAAGGTATGTTCCTGATTCACTGATGTAAGGGGTGATGAGACCCTTGTAGGCCCGAAAGAAAGAGAGCGCCTTGAGACCTAAACCAATAAAAAACAAACTCAACACCCGAAGCCAAAAACCCCAAAGGCACGAACTCGAAAAAAACAAACTCCTCAACCCTACGGACCCTAATATGCTGGTGCCTGTCGAGAGCAGACGCCCAGGTCACTCAAAGCACGCGGTTCTCGCCAAGTTTGAGCCAAGTTCTGCCGAACCGAAGCTTCACAGAATGGAAGACCCGTTTAATGTAGGGGCCTTAGAATAAGGTGTTGGGGCCCAAAATACTATATAGTTATAATAAGGAGCCCCCGAACTAGTATAGGTAATTATTCAGCCCCCTATATTGTGCAAGCACACAAACCATAACAGGATCCTCGTTTTGCATGTCAGCAGTCCGAGTTGGGTCTTGAAGGAGCACTTATGGTGCGGTAGTCAAGGTATCCGAACATGCAGCTTAACGTTTTGGCTGCCTGCCACCCCTAAACCCAATGTAACATCCCTAAACTAAACCCTAAAAGGCAGGTACCATGAACTTTAGCCAGCTTGGCGGCTTGGCTCTGAAGCCATCGTTTCGGGCTCTTCAATCGTTCAACTCAGTAAGTTAAAGGTTTTTAGGGCTTCCCCCTCAATCCCACCTCCACCCCAAAGAAACTGCCTGTCTAAGGAACTCGACAAAGGAATCACGACCCAAAATCCGCTACCGACGATCTGCCAACAGGACACCCTAAACTCGACAAGCGAACCCTAAATCCGAACTCCTCAACCATAAGCACACATCCTGAATCCGGTGTTTCTAACCCTAGGGTATCGGGTTCTATAGGGTTTATAGGTAGGGTTCCTCAGATCTGAGCGCCCCGGCACCTCGCGACAGCCGGAGAGGCTGTGCACAGCCTGCGTGACCTGGGTGTTTGGGGGACCCTCATTTTCGGTTGAGGGCTTATAGGGTTAGAGGTTTAGGGTTTAGGGTTTAGGGAACCCACTAGTATAGAGACGGATGGAGGGAACTCTGATCACCAACCCCAACAGTGCTCGAAGTTGTGCATAACCGTGAACCGCGTGCGGCTAAGCCAAGCGCCGCGTTGCTTCCATTCACAGCTGCGGCGCGCAAGACCTTGCGGCGGATGACGGCGTTCTGCTGTAAACAAACGTTCTGAGATTCCATCAACCGTTGAATCTAGCAGCATAAACTAGACCCTAAACCCGAAGCCCTAAACCCTAAACCCTTGAACCTAAACCTTATAAACCCTAAACCCTTGAACCTAAACCCTAAACCCTAAACCCTAAACCCTAAACCCTAAACCCTAAACCCTAAACCCTAAACCCTGAACCCTGGCCCGAACACAAGGGAGTCTGTAACTACTCCGGGCTCCCTTCGCGGTGTGCGCGCTTCTGTCTTGGGAGGGAAGCTTCATGTTCCGGGGTTTAGGATTTAGGATTTAGGGGTTTAGGGTTTAGGGTTTAGGGTTTAGGGTTTAGGGTTTAGGGTGTAGGGTTCCGGGGTGGGCCGGGCTTATCTCTGCGGGTGTAAGGCTTTCCGGTGCGAACTTTTCAAGCTGAAGTAGGCTAACTTTTAGGCTTGAAGTCCTGACTTAACGGGTGGTTCGTACCCTGAGGATACGGAGACTGTGAACCTGCTGGAGACACTGTTCCGCCACTTGCAAAATAATGCTTTGTAGGCTCTGAAGCCTAAACCCTAAACCCTGAACCCTGAACCCTAAACCCTAAACCCCGAACCCTAAACCCTAAACCCCTTAGTCCCCTTTGAGAATAAATCCTAGTGCCCGTTTCTTTCCATCGAGTCCCAAAGCTTACGGCCTAAGGAGTCCCTTGTATCTCCCTATGCCTCCAAGAACCTCATAGTTAGGGCCGGTTTGGGTTTAGGGTTTGGGACTCAGGGTCTAAGGCTGTAGGGAAGTTAGTAGGGCCCTACCCATAGTCTCCGTTGTAGTTCCTTTTTGGGGTTACCTTTTGGGATCCTTAATATAAAGTTGGTCCAACCAAAAAAAGGGAACTACAATGGAGACTATAGTTAACC